GAGAGGCATTGCAGTTTATTTTGAAACTGATCCCATTTGATTATTTTAGATTACTTGATTTTCTGGTCAGATTTAAAAATTCAGGTTTGCTGAGGTTTTGTTCATAGGACTAGGAAAAAGAATGTGCTGTGTTGAATTCATGTGTCATGCAGTCAGATAACTTTTTCCTAACTTTGAGGATATTCCTATGACAAAAGGCTGAATGATGTTTGTTTCATCCTTTTACAGCCTGAAAAGAAGCAGGCAGAAATTTCTAGGCAAATCTGAAGCTTTTCCTCACTTTTTAATGTTACTTGTACACTCTAATAACTTCAGGCTGCTATTTCTGCGGAGAGTGGATTATAAGCCTTTTCTTCTACATAGATATCACACATTCTTTAATTCTTTTAGCTATTTTTATTGACTGCGGCTCGTTACACACACACACACACACACACAGAGGCGCACGCGCTTGCACACACACATTCTGCTGTGCCCTATCTCAGTTACAGCACAGTCCTACCCAGGGTCATTACAATGTACACATTACATATTTCTAGCAAACATGAAAATGAATCAAACAGGGGGAGAGATAAGCACAGATAGATGGGAGCCTGCTGAGGAAATAACAGGCAGTAATCTGCCTGACCACTGGACTACCCTTCCCGGTTGGATTTAAGTGTTCTTTCCCGTTAGTTGCTGCGGAGCCGCCGGCTACTCTGAAGTGAAAATTTAAACGACTAAATAAGAATGGAGTTACACTTAGCGGGACAATTATTTGGTGTAACTCCAAAAACTAATTGTTTCTGAAGTGATGTTTAAACCAACGTCGGCACAAGGCAAGAGCTCCTGGCTCGTGGCCAGCACCTTGTAGCGCATATTAGCGCAGATGAGGAGTTCCTAAAAGTTACAGAGAGGGAGAGGGAGGGAGGGAGGGAGAGAGAGAATGTGCGTTTTCAGTGCTCTCTCTGCATTTGTTTGTATCCTCCTCCTTGCCGAGATTAGAGGAATACCTGTGTAGTGCTGCTTTATGATGATTTCTGCTGAGCCTCAGAATAGGTTCTGGTATTTTTTTTAGGTGGACTGCCAGCTGCCGATCTCGCTGTTGACAGTAAAAGCAGATATGTTCCTCGCTTACTGCCATTAGCACTGACCATGACCCTTCACACCAAAACCTCTGGAGTTACCCTGCTGCACCAGATTCAAGGCACTGAACTGGAGACACTCAGCAGACCTCAGCTGAAGATTCCCCTGGAAAGATCGCTCAGCGACATGTACGTGGAGAGCAACAAGACAGGAGTTTTTAACTACCCGGAAGGGGCCACTTACGATTTTGGTACTACGGCTCCAGTGTACAGCTCTACTACTCTCAGTTATGCCCCTACTTCTGAATCTTTTGGGTCCAGCAGTCTGGCGGGATTTCACTCACTGAACAATGTCCCACCAAGCCCGGTGGTGTTCTTGCAAACGGCGCCCCAGCTCTCACCCTTCATCCATCATCACGGCCAACAGGTACCCTACTACCTTGAAAATGAACAAGGCAGCTTTGGGATGAGGGAAGCTGCTCCTCCAGCCTTCTACAGGTAAATGCTACAGATAATTTCTATTTTCTTCTTTAAGGACATGAACTGAGAAAATTAGGATGTGAAAGTATGTATGCCCTAATCTTTTCTTTTTGTCTAAAGGACCGTGTGATTTAATTGAATTATCCATGATACCTCGACCATAAAAACCACCATAGAATAAAACAAAACTGTAATTCACGGCTCATTGTGACTCTAAGCTGTAAATTTTGAAAGCTGTACATAAATTGGAAGCAAATTGGGTAATGAGTACAAATGTTTTCTGGGAAAATGTAAAATCATAATTGATTAAGGAATGGCAAACAACCTCCCTGTTGTAATGCATTAGAAATACTAAAAAGACTTCCACCATCACACATTTCTGGGTGAGTGGTTGGTTGTTCAGCTCTCAGCTGCCAGTAATGGTATTTTCCTCCTGTGGCTTCCTTTACAGTGTGAGAAGTGGCTTATATAGGAAGTAGTCCAGAAGCACAATATCCTTCCTAATCAAACTGTTAGAGCTGACTCGGTGACAGTATTTCTGTCAGTAACCACCTTCATGAGCTGTGTACATGTTAACCTGCATTTTTTCATTGGAGGGTGAGATATTCTAACCATAACTCTGGCATGCTGCATTTCAGAAGATAATATTTTTGGGGGTTTTGCATTTTTATCCCTCAATAGAAGAGTTGGTTTTGTTTTTTTTTTTTTTTTTTTTTTTTGTGGTAGAAGTTAATAGAACTGTAGCTTCCAGGAAAATGTGGTAATATACACCAATACCTACATTGTTAATGTTTGTGCAGTATTAATAGCATAGTTTTGCATCACCCTATTATACTGGGCTTCGGTGAATCAAAGGGAACAGTTAGATGTATTTATTGTTTTCCTAAATGCTACCTGTATCTTTTTATTTGGGAGATACAGGCGAGTTTGCTAGAAATGGAATGACTCTGAAGAAATAAAAGCAAGTTATTCTTTCCCTGTCGAGGGCCAGACTCTGTGAGACATATTTGCACAATATAACATGTTTCTGGGAACAGCAGCGTATGTTCTTAAAGATAGTCTAACTCAGCCTGAGTAGGAATCTGGTGGCAGAATCTGGTCCAAACAAACAGATGATGTGATTCCAGTTTTTGCAAATGATTAATCAGTTTTGGGGAGCAGATGGAATAAACACTAGTGAAGTGATAGATAACAGTTGTGTCAGCCCTTCCAATATATTGATCTGTTAACTGAATTGGTTCAAACAAAATGCATTTTAGTGCAACCGAATACAATACCTCTAGGAAGAGTGAATACATGTCAGAGCATAAAGATTTGAATTATTACCGGTGACTTGAGAGTGAAACTGCACTTTGCACTAGATTAAAGGGTTTTTTTTACATGAACGTCCAGTGCAAACCTATCGTGAAAAGTGTGTAAGCGACCTTAGATATGTAAACAGTGGAGTAGTGAATTTATGAAGTTGAAATACACTGGCAGAAAATGTACTATAGTCGAGGTATTTTACTTCAGGAGGAATCAAAACCAAGAATCTCCTGGAAATAGAAGTTGAATGATGAAGTAATGTCCTTTTATTTTTAAACAGTGAATTGAGGTGAGACACTTCAAAATAAAATTAATGTACTTTTTCATTTTAACTACTGAAGCAAACATGTAAGGTCAGTGCTGAATTACCCATTTCCTGACATTTCTGATCAAGGATGGGTGTCTTCTTTGGAGATGTGTTTTAGCCGTATGCAATTAATGGGGCAGTAATTAAGTGAATTTATGATCTTGGATATGCAAGTGGTTTATCTGCATGCAGTGTTAAACAAATGATTTAATGGCCCCTTCCAGCCATAATTCTGTAAAGCGCATCTTATGTGGTAATAAGAAAAGTGTATCAAAGTGCTTGCTATGATTATCTCTTGTTAACAGGCGTGTACTGTTGGAATTAAATTGATAAAAGCATTGCTTTTTTTTTTCTTTTCATTTCTGTAAGATTGTATTTACAAAGTTATCGTCCTCACATCATTAAATGGTAGGTCTTTATTCTTGTGTTTTGACACAAATCCAATCGTCAATAGTCTGTGAAAATAATTTGAATAGGTGTTCAGTGTCTGGGAAATAATTAAACATCTAATCGTGGGGCTTAAGAACAAGTTCTTTAAAAAATATTCTAATGCATGAATTTACAATTTACTTTATTCATTTGGCTAATGTCATCATTTTCAACTGGATTATGGGAAAAAAGAGAACATGGGGCAGTGTAATCTGACAATGAGCCTAACTACCAAAACGGTGAGTTTCTGGAACAAGCTACCACTAGGAGTGGTAAAGGCAAAAATTCTTAAACGAAAAGCCCTAACAAAATTCTAAATGGATCATGATCAGCTTATGATATGTCTGCCTGTTTCTATAATAAGTAATGTAACCTAAGACCCAGAAAGGCTTCTCTGCAGTCCTTATTTACCTTTCTGTGTAACAGAATTGTGGTGTTTTGCTTGTAAGACTGAAATATTTGCATTGCATCATGCTATCATACTATGAATTTGAGATGCAAATAATGCATTCTGTGATACAAGTGGCTAGGGCAATAAATAATCATTGTAGATTGGAGCTGAAATTATATACTGTTAGTAATTGGATAAAATGTTAAAAATCTTCAGTCACAAAATTCAAAAATTACCATAGGTAGTATGGAAAGCATCTAATGTCATCTGATTTTGTTAATACATAGTCAAAACCGTGCTGGCTATAACCAAATATATAGCCACATGTGCTAATTCGGAAGTCATATTTTATTTCTTTCAAATTATGTTTCCTTTTCCAAAAGGCTTTGCCTCCTATTGTAGGGTAATGACAGAATTCTATATCTAGCTGAAGAACCTAACAATAGATAGAGAGCAGAACGATTTTTGTAAAGTATACAAAAAATATAGCAATCTCCTCTTTTCTGAATTTTCTAAATCATGGAACATCAGAATTTGAAAGAGAAGGGGCATAATTAATTCAAATTGTGCTGCCTCTAACTTGGCCCCTTTTATGTCTGACCTTGTGGCTGTTTTTATAGGGAGCCAAACTAAAATACCTTTCCCTTATCTTGCAGAATTAGTATCTTCAAGTAAGAAGGAGAAGGCATAGTGCTAGTTGTGTTTTTAATTCTCTTCAAATGTAACATATATTTTATTTTCTCAATCACTTTTATTGTACGTTTTTTCTAATTAAATGATGACTAGTAGTTCATTATCACAGGAAATCCTGTGCTCAGGGATATTAGGGTAAACTAAAGATTCCCTTTGTTCTTAACTATTACATTTGATTTCTAGCCATTTCTGGTTGTTTCCCTGTGCTTTTGGGCTGGTTTTTGTTCATTCAGGGAACAACCAAGAAGCCTTTCAGTAGCTTATTTACCTCAGTAAATTCCTATAAGCAACAGGGAAGATGAATCTTGTTTTGTTCTTCTCCTGTGTGATGTTCCTGTTTCATCTCACTGAGTTTGCACTTTTCAGGTCTGAAGCAAAATCGTGTTTGTATTTCAGGCCCTCTGTAGCCTGCGCTTAGTGCTGCTTCCAAATTTGGCCAAAACCCGCATAAAAATGGACTGCATCTAGCAGCTACCTGATGATGGAGTTGTTTGTCAGCCTGTAGTGAGTAATAGAGGCAGTGTAAAACACTGTACAAATGGAAATCTGAAAAGAAAAATTGTTCATTGCTCCCTCACTTTTAGTGGCTAGTTTGTGAGTAGCTTCTCGTACCCCAGGCTCTGGGTTCAGGCTAATATATAGTATTTATTCAGTTTTAGTCCCAATTATCATGCTGAAAGTGACACTGAAACATTTTAAACCTGCTGTTCCAATCAGTATGATCACAGCTTTAATCTTTTAATGTTTGCTAAAACTGAGAAAGACTACAAATGTAGATCGATCCCTCTTCTGCTGTAATTCATAAATCCACCAGTCTGAAAAACAGTTGCTTAACCTGGTTTTTTTTTGCCTTGTCTGATTCATTATGAATCTTTCTAGCTGTTCATGTTTAGTTCTAAACCAAGAGGATTTTTTTAAATTTTAAAATTAAAAGAATGTTATAATGAATGCAAAATTATTTTTTTTTCCTTTCTCAGTGTAGTATGAGGTATTCCATAACATGAAGGAGTACTATATAATGAATATTTGGGTGGTTTCTTCTTTTTCATTTATTTTCTCTAAAGTATCAATCTGTTCTGAGGTCCTCTTTTGAACAGTTTGAGTGTTCAGGCAGTTCCTTGGACACGTGGAGTGTTCCTGCTGTCAGAGTTTGTACTTGTGCCTCACAATTTTACAGCAATAGATGAGTGTAACAAAAGCTACAGGAAAATATGGAATTATCCTATCTCATGGAAATGTTGTAAGGATAGACCTGTTAAAAGTTCTAAGATACACATTACAATTATGAGGGACTTGTACAAACCAACTTTGCTGTTTCTGCAGCTCTTAGAGAATGTGCTGATGTGGACCCTGCTGCAAGTGTGGTTGCACCATGAAGTCACCAGTCCATATTGTTGTGGAGCATGTGTGTTCTGTGCCTCCTTGTGCCCCTGAATAAGGCCAGGCAGTGGTGGAAAGGGGTAAAGGACCTGTGATGCTTCCTCATTATCCTCCTGTCTGCCAAGGCAGGGAAATTGATCTCACTTGCTCTCTCTTTCTACTTACTGAAGAAAACTTTCTTCACTTTTTTTAGGACATGTGTTTTTTTTTGTGTAAACCATAGGCCCAGGAAGTGTGCCATATATCAATTCCTTCCCATGTGGATTTGAAACTTGTGGCTAAAAACATGGTTGTTTGGGCAGCCTGTGTGGATGGTGTTCATTTGATTAAATGTAGACACCTGGGTCTTTATGCAGTTTTCCATTCCTTATGCATCTGGTGCTATTTGAGAAGCTATAGGGTCAGATGGGTCTAACAGATATGACACAGGAGCTACTGCATAGCTATACGTTTTTTGAGCAGGAGGTGGGTGTCAGTGAGGGTCATCACCTAGAACACCTCAAACGGGCATGT